GATTTACATTTTGACTGTGCAGCTCTTTCCCTTTATTCCTTACCTTGTTTGAGGGCAGGGAGTGTTTAACAAACTAATCAATATAGTCTTTTCTCTAGTGCCCATTACATCAGGCCTGCCCAACTGGTGATCAACCAAGCCAAATACGGCTCACCAGTTCTGTGTGGTGAATGGACTTGCAAAATAATAATAAGGGAGTGTGTGTGTGTATTACCAAGACAGTTGTCTATATTCAGTTTTGTTGCTTGCAGATCATGTCGGTCTACCCTATATGACAAAACTAGGAAATAATGATTTAACATTTCAAAGAGCTGAGGTTTAGAAGATCAAACGAACATTTCAAATATCCCTGTCCTGCACTGATGCTGCAGTAAGTTCTTTCAATGCATTCAAGGAAGCTTCTGGAAGCAGTGGCGGAGCTTCATGCTCTGGCACCAGGGGGTGGAGAGCAGGTGGGGCCAGGCTGGCGTGCATCCCAGGGGCTTGGCGCTCCACCCGTAGGGACGTGGCGTGCCGCCCATGAGGAACATGGTGCCCAGCATGGGCGGGGGGGGGGCAGCTACGATTGCACCCTGCCAGGATCGCGCTGCCAGGGGCGGTGCACTCCCCCTGCACGCCTCTTCCTCCGCCAGTGCTTGGAAGGAATGGAAAGGCCTTGAGACACCTCAGGTGCTAATCTAATACTAGTTGCTTTGTATGTTTCTGTTTGTATTATTGCCTGTTCATATTTGAAACATATTTTACAGAGGCTTTAAACACCCCTGTGCTGATACATGGATATTTTCGTGGAATAGCTCGCACTGTGTTAGTAGGGGTATTTAAAATTGCTGCCTGAATTACTTAAATAAGAGTGCAATACTATACCTGCTTATTCAGAAATATGTCCCGCTTTGTTCAATGGGGGCTTACTTCCTTGTAGCTGTGTTTAGAATTGCAACACAAATCATCATCATCATCAACATCAACATCTTTATCATCTGATTTGTATGCCACTTTTCTGTACTTAGAACCATGCTCAAAGCAGCTTACAACATGAAATGATTTACATAATTACAAAAGTAGTTATAAGCAATAAATGAAGCACATCGTAAATAAATTGAATATTGGGAGTGAAAGTACTGAGTTCTGTGGAATGAGAATGATGAAAAGTTTCAAACCTGTAGTATTCATTGACCACGTAGAGCTATTCATTCAGGTAGCTGCAACTTCCAGCAATTTAGAGAAGGGGGTGTATTTATGTGAAAGAGAAACAGAGAGACAGGCCAAAAGAAAGCCCTCAACACAGCTTTAAAACCTCATGAATGTGCTCTCTGTGGGGGGAAAAAAGTCCTTATAGGTATGGCCCCACTGGAGGAGCCATCTACTGTATGTCTACTTAAATCTAAAGGACAACTCTTCAGACCACCCACATGTTGCGCTGCCTTGTTGTTTTCAGTTTGCTTTTTCGGAGGGATTAGTTTTAAACTCCACAGCCTTCTAGCTTCACCAAAAGAAGAAGAAGAAGAGGAGGGGGGGGGAAATCAGTTTTGTGTAAAGTGAAAATTAGTCTCTTAAATCTGCAAAGCGAGCTGTTTATCTTACAAATTTATTCTTTTTTTTATTGGGCCACACATACCCTAGATAGAAAGATAAAAGAGAAATGTCTAACAAGCTGTCATTAAGAATGACATCTAGCAAAACATAACTAGTACTTTTATTCTGTAAATTCATCATGAATGGCTTGTTAGCTTTAGCTATCTGTTGATATGGGGTGTCCGCCTTTTTTTGCACTCTGTTTATCACAGTCAATATATATATAAAATTGCCTTCACACAGGCATAGTTTTGCACCACATATATGCTTCCTATATCCCAGTTTTGCATCTCAGTGTAATTTTCTCTCTTGAATTCCATATGCAATACTGTGTAAATACTGTGACAATTAGAAGTCCTTGAGGAATTGAGAAATATAAAATAGCCTCTCTCCATGTCTGCTTGAAAGACCACATAGATTCTGCATTATGTTACTCTTAAATCCTGTGAATAATTAAAAATGTCTGTTGCTAGCTTTCTAACATATACTTTGTGTTATAACTGGCTAGCATTTCAAGCAGAACACTCAGAGAATCTTAATCAGCCATATATTTATTTTATTAACTTGTTCACTTTTATCTTAAAAAACAAACCTAAACTTATTCTTGTTCAGCAAAAGTTCATGACTATCTGTGATTTCTTCAGTAGGTGTTTTAATCACATGACATAACTGGAAAGGCATTTGTTTTCATTTTCATTTGTTATTTAAGAAACCTATATATTAAGTCCACATAAGTATCCCTTTGCTGTATTCCTTGTTACTAATTCTCTCTCTCTCTGGTTCAAGGCAGAGGTTCTACTCCCCACCCCCACCCCCTTCATGCCTTGACTCATTCCTGTCATTTGGTGTCACTCTAAATACATCTCCAGTTAGGGATTCAGTTCACATTTAATGGGGAGCCCACCTAATTCGCACTTTCTGATACAATATGTGAAATGCAATACAGCTGTCCTTCGAAATGTGCACTTCTCTGAATTTTGCAATGCAGTTCTCCAGCAAAGTGATTTGTGCAAAAATGCATGGACTAGGGTCAAGTATGCATATTAAAAAATTAGTGCAAGCAGCACACACAAATACTTTATTTGAGGGGAAGTTGCTTTGCAGCTATGTGTACATATTAGGAGAGATTTGCACTAAAATGCTGATGAATTTTTGTAAAAGAATTCAAATAATTATAGCAACCATTCTTCTCCTGGTGCTGTACTGAGGACCCAGAAAGGCAGAGCTGGGAGAGACTAACTCCTCCAAGCTCTCTTGACCCAGGTCTCAGGGATGCAAAGCAAGTTGGCCTCCTTACCTATGATTAAATCATAGATCTATTTTGACTCAACCTGGAATTCAGGAACAGACCTGTGGACAAACTGGTTAAGCCTACAAGGAACCTTTCAGAAAACAAAACCCAGAAGAGTGAAAAGGCACGTAATATCAAACGGTTCTATTCTTCAACCCACCTCAAAAAAACAAAAACAAAACCCTCCCTCATCCCACCTCTTCCTGGGTAATAGGGTCATTCCACTCTCTTCTAGGCTATTTGATGAATTTCCTATTGGTAACATTGCCAATGAAAAATGATTCAATAGAAAGCCTTCACAGTTCTAGCTGAAAACAAACACAAAAGAAAACTTTGCATATCCACAACTAAAATATAAAAAACCCCACCTGCAGCCAAAGCACGCTGCTCTCACCCCCTTCTCTTCTTCAGGGACTGTCACATATTCCTCTTGATTACTTCTGAACACACAGGTGAGAAAATCACCACCAGCACACCAGCGCTTTCAGAAGAAAAGACACTTCTTAGTGTTCTCCTTTCCCATTTTCAGAATGAGATGAATTAATTCAGGCACAGCTGAAAATTCAGTGGAAAGAACTAGAGGGAAAGTGCCCCCAACCCTGTGTGGGGTATCTATCTCTGGAGGCCTAGGGAAAATCCATTCGGAATCTTCCCATTGCCACAGTGAGGTTTTTATTCCGGCTTAAGTGTCCAGGTAAATTACCATGGACATTCTCTGGGATTATGAAGACAACTCCCGTCATAGAAAATGAGCTGGATCATTGATCCAACCAGCTCCGTACTGTCTACTCTATGGATGAGTAACCTGTGGTTGTCCTGACCTTGTTGGATGCCAACTCCCCTTAGCTCAGCCAATGGTCAGGAATGATGGGAGTTGTAGTCCAGCAACATCTGGGGGACCAAAGGCTAGCCACCACTGGCATTCACTGACTAGCAGCCAGCTTCCAAGTTTTGAGGCCAGAATCTTTACCAACCCTATCATGGTGGTTCAGCCAAGGACTTTTGCATGCAAGTGGCTTGGCCACTAAGTTGTATTCAATAGTCTGCTTTTGGTTTCCTTTTCATGCTCCTTCCAGGCTCAGCCAGTCTCAGGCCTTGATCATTTAATTTCCTGAAGTCTTATGTTCATGTCGGACCAGGACCTGAGAGACCTGGGTTCAAACCCCTACTTGGCCATGAAGCTCATTGAATGACCTTGGGCCAGTCACTGCCTCTCAGCCTAACCTACTTCACAGGGTTGTTTGGGGGATTAAATGAGATGGGTGGAGCCATGTACACCACCTTTAGCTCCTTGGAGAAAAAGGTGGCATACAAATGCAATAAATAAATCAATCAACTGGGAAATCAACTGTTTTGGACTGGACAAAATTCTCACACTCGCAACCCAGGAATCATCTACCCCCACATGTGTGATATAATAGTGACAGCATTCTCATAGAGAGCTATAACTTGCTATGGTTTGTGGGCAGCTGCAAGTGTAATTTCAAACAATTAGAACAAACATTGGGTGCAATTATTTCTTGAGTACCTTTAAGTCTCCTTGATTTCACCGTGAGAGATTTACGCTTGTGCTTACTCTCCCTCTTTTTTTAAAAAAACAACACAATCCTTTTTAATGAATTACGAATGTAGAATTCCTCCATCTCCTTGACATTCTATCTATTATCATTAGTAGTAGTAATAATTATAATAGTCTTCTCAGCACTGAAAACTTTCAACAGGGACTTCTATTTTGTTCTGTATATCTTTGCATATTGATTAACAATGAACCAAATTCAATGCAGCAAAAAAAAAATAATCTTTAAAAAACAAAACTTTTTTTAGGATGAGAAAGTACTTAATAGGAATGAAGCAAAAGAAGAAATCAAACCAGCTGCTGACACAGCTGTTTCTTTTCTTGTCTAATTCAGTTCAGTATAAAGGTACCATATGCTGCTTAAAACGACGATGGGGAAGATGAAATAATTTAAGAGAATAACAAGAAAATACATGAATTGTCAGCATTCTGTCAGATTTAAAGAATGAAACAGACAGGTGTAGTATTGACATGTTTAGCTTTGTGTTGTGTTAGCAGTTTGAGTGAGAACAACTCCTTGACATGTGCTGAAATGATGTGAGAACACTCTCTATATTTCAGATATCGGCGACGAAGCTGGGAGATCTGCCGGAGTCCAGCAACCAGCTTTGCTGAGAGACAGGAGCCTTGGGTCTGCTATGAAAGACTGCCCTTACTGTGGGAAAACTTTCAGGACATCACACCACTTAAAAGTTCACTTGAGGATACATACAGGTGAGATCTCCCTGTAGCATAGCGGATGTTTTATAGGGGAGAAACTAATGCACATATGGTGTTGTATTGATGTGTGGTTGCTATGAAACTGAACTGTGAACCGAGAAATCCCCAGTTCAGTTCTCACCTGCCATGTATTCAGCACAAGCAAGAACCCAGAATGTCACCAACACCCCTGGCATTCTGGAAATGACAGTATGGATCTACCTTTGAATTGTTAGGATTATCAATACAAAGGTGTGAAGCACTTTGCATTTCTTTAAGAGTGCTGAGCCAAATCTTCAGGAGTTTAGATTTTCACCCTGAGCTTCCCGTGCTCAGAAAAGGATAGTCTTGTGTTGAACAGTTAAGAATATCAAATGTGTTTCTTTGTTCATTTCCTGGGCCCTAATCAGAGCACAGACTTGTGCAAAGGTGCCCAAAGGCTGTTTTTTACAAAATAGTTTTTGCTCCAGGAAACTCTGTAGCCACAAGCTATCCCACAGGGCACAGCTCAGGGAAGCTCCTAGCGAATTAGCTCAGAGACTGCGCAGTTCCCCGGAGTCTCCAAGCCAGCTTTTCACACACTTCCTTCTAGTGTCAAAGACTTGGATGGGAAATGGGCAATTTTTGGTAACGTATTACTGCAACATTAACAAAAGCAAAAATGAAATTAAAAAGGTGGTTTTGTCTCAGCTCTAGAAATGCTATACAAAGTGTTTACCATGAATAAAAGAGTGCCTAGTTTGGACTTTCTTAATAAACACACAAACCATATTTATTTTATTTATAAAACTTCTATACTGCTATTCTGTTTGGAAAATATACAGAGCAGTGTGCAATAATAGCAAAAATGTTTACATTTGAGAACACACACATGCAAGGCATTAAATGCGTAAGGCAAAAATACTCAAGGCAAGAAAAATCACCAAGGAATAGCTCCAAGGCATTCATAACTGATGGTTGCCTATTCCCAAAGAAAAGTAGTCTGCTGCACTTTGCCATGTTTTCCACAATTTTCAGAGTTCCTTGTCTGGGTATGATGTGCAATCTCCCAGAATCGTATTAGGGCACCTGTTTTCTAAGTAAAAAAGAAGTGCTTTTAATATGATGATTTCAGGGCTGACTCAGCCCTAACTTTATGGGTGTCAGAATTACAGCAGCATATCCCAGTCCCATAGCACTCCGGTGTTATTAGTTAATAAGCACCCAGAAAACACAAGGAAACACTTAACAAACTGCCAAGAAAATTATTATTTATTACATTTGTCAGTGACTTTATACAAGGAGAAATTCTCAAAGCCGTTTGTTAAGTTAAAATGCAACAAGTAAAAGCAATTTAAAACCAGAAAAATATATAGTATGTAACAAAATGAACCATAAAAAATACACAGAACTCTCCTCTAGTAACCTATTGATAAGGACAAGTCCTACCCACTCCTCTAGAAGACAATCACTACCGTAGGAGGCAACTTAATTACCAAAGACCTGATTTAGCAAATCAGCCTTAGCTTGGTGCTGAAAGACTGATAAGCATGGTAAGACCATTCCACAGGCTGGATGGTGGGGGAACCATTGAAAATGTGTAGCCACCCTCTGCATCTCAATCTGGATACATGGAGAAGTACCTCTGATGAGGACTACAGGGTCCAGGCTGGTCCAGATGGACAAAAATCTGTCCTTGAGGTATTGCAGTCCTGAGCATTATAAGGTTTTAAAGGTCAAAAGAAGCACTTTGAATTATCCCTAAAAACTTGTTCCTGGAAACTTTCTCTCTTTCTCATGTCTCAGGATGCTGAGAAAAAGCTATTAGTAGAAACTGAGACAGGATTTCTTTTTCAAGTGGCTCATTGCACCCACAGTGACACAGTTACTTCCTACAGCACTATCACATCAGCACAAAAAGTGGTGGGGTCTGCATAGGGAGTAAGCATGTCTAACCACATGGGGGTTTTCATGTAGGAAACCATGACTGGAACAGCTCCCATGCTGTGAGTATCATAACAATTAAATAAGGCCTCTGTGTTGATACTTTGGAAAAGCTTGCGTAGCAAGAAAGTCAGCAATCATTTATTTAAATGCTCAAAGTACTGCCCACCTCTGTAGCTTCTCTAACAATCTAACAAATTTGTAGACAGCTTGGCTTTGGCAGTATGGCGATGAGCTGAAACATATAATACAAAATAAATCCCAAAGCATTTATTGGAGATACACTAGTATAGTTGAAAAATACATGTGTGAAATATATGAAAGGCATGTGTTTAGGTGTATGAATTATTTGACGTGATATAGATGTCTGAGGTCAGAACGTGAAATTGATTGGCAGTTGATGCAGAGCAGCCAGTGATGCTGAAGGCTTGCAAGCTGTTAAACAATAAATCTTAATCAGAAAGGACAGAATAAATGTTTAATCCAAGATTCATGGATGGAAATTACTTCCACAAAAGGGGCAATGACCGCTTATTTAGCCTTTGACAGTGATTAGGCAAATTCATGGTAGATGGGTCTCTGAACTATTAGCTCTTAAGTTAAATAGAACATCTAGGTGTCCTGCTTGCAAACTTCTAGCGTTATTTTGTTGGGCAATGTGTGAAAGAGGATGTTGGACCTTTGGGCAGATATGGACCTTTGGTCTGATCCAGCAGGATCTTATGAACTTTTTTATGGACTTTCTCATTCCTCCCTAAAGAAACTCCTGCTTTTGATGTGTGTATGTATGGAAATCCATGGAAGGTGAAAGTTGCAGAGCCATAAACCTGGAGTGATATCTGAGCCAGATTTCTTAGAGACTTTAAAAATTCAGAATGCCTTTGTTTTGTGGTCAGCTACAACATCACGTTGCATTTGCATACCAAGAGGTCAATGGAAGTGTTACTGAACGCAGTGAGGCCTATGCCCAAGTCTTACAGGATTGTACTGTAAGTCCCTTCAATTAAAATCAATTGAACTTTTAAGAGTAATTAATTTTAGAAGGGCCATGTTCTCTCTGTACTTGTGCTAATGGAAAATCATGAATATCCATCAAGCAATTAATTACCTGAAAAAGTAATCCAAAGATTCACTTAAAACTCAGTTAATACAATATATAAATATTTGATAATACTTTAATACTTAGGTCTAAAACAAGTGTTACTAGGGGCGGTGGGTTGGAGGGGGGAACCCTACATTTATTTAGTCTTTTCATATATCTATACTCTTATTGCAATTAGGTGGTCACTTTTTTGTTTAATACACACCACTGATTGTTATTTCAGAACCTGTCCCTTTCAATTTATGGGAAATAAATATGTTTTATTATCTATAAAAATAATGCCCTAAAACTTACTAAGAAAATTATCCTGGGAAGAAAACCTGCTATTAAAAATAAGACAATGAATTCACAGAGGCATTATACAGTCTATGCAAACAACATTTGTAAAGTATTTTAAAAGCACAACAATATTAAAATAGATAAAGATCAATTTCCATTAAGTAAAGAACAAAGTATTATAAAATAATAACAAGAATATGTTGAAATGGAATGCAAGTCTTGCATGTTATAAATTTCCATGATAAACAATGTAATATCACCAATTACAAGGGTTATTAGAATTTTTAAAAGCAACTTCTTATGTTCTTTGATAGAACTGGTACCAATTCTTAAACAAATGCCATATCGGTTAGTTTAGTTATTCTGGGTAAGAGTTCCTCAATTTTTTTGCAGTGCTTTAACTTCATTAAAAGTCTAGAGTGATTAAAACCAACATTTTGCTGTGTTTGGACACTGCATTAACTCAGCTGTTATTTTTGGATTTCTCAGCACCTGATGGTTAGAAAGCAATTTGGCACTAGTCAGTTTCCCAAGAATACCTGAGTGTTTGCAGGCCCATGGCTTGAATGACTCCATCCTTTTCCCAAATTCATAGGTAAGGCTGAAATATTCAACACTGGTCAGCAGCAGAAAGCCCAGGTCCTCCATAAACCCTATAGAAGAACTTCTGCATTTAGATAACTCAGCCTGCTCGTTTGTGCCTTAAGTAGCAATCCATGGCTCTTACCACTGTAGAGGTGTCCCTCTTCTGCTGAGGACAAAGTGCCTTCAAAACAACAGTGTAGTAGTTCTTTTAAGCAGTGATACTGGGTGAGCCCTTCATGCTTGCCTGCTAGTAGCTCTTTTCATCACAGCGTTCCCTTTGTGTGACATTTCTATGCAGTCTTATTTTTCACCTGCCACTGGTAGCCCCAGAAAGCCTTATAATACCCACCTGCCCTCATCTATTCCCACCTGCGGATGTAGTACTGGCCAGCTGACCTTTGGTGATACAACTCTTTCCCTTTGGGTTTTTCTCCTGCTATCCCCCTGACCACCATATTGCTGCTGTTTCCTGTAATTCCTCCCTGCTTCTTTGAAGTTAATGGGCTATGCAACATTAAACTGAAAGGAAACTATGGGATACATTATAAATTAAGTTATGTTAAATCAGGTGCCCTTTTTCAGGCCAAGGGCAACATTACTTAGTAGAAAGCTGCTGGGGGCTGTATTCCACTACTGGCCAGGACTAGACTTACATATAGGCCATGCTCTTAATGTACACAGACAGACACATAGAGAGAGGGGGACACAAAGCTATTTACCATGGAAACAGGCATATATTTAATACTCCACTTAATTTCACCTAGCATTTTCTCCATAGACTTTTACAAAGTTTGTTACAAGAGTATTGGAAAGCCTTAACGAAAACAAAAAGAACTATCCTGACTGCAAAAGGCAAAAAAGAACTTGGGAACCTCAACAGAAGAATGCCAATAATATCAATTCACAACTGAACATCAAGCCCTGCCTTACAGCTATTCAAGCTTTACAGTGCAACTGCACCTCTAAAACTGCATGGCTGTAATTTGCAAAATGCAAAGGGGGCTTTTTGTATGTGTGCAATGACCACCAAATTCCCTCTCTGCTGAGATGTATTCTTCTTGCACCACCACTTTTAGCAGAGGAAGACGTTTCATTCTCACACCATTTACACTGTTGAGCAGCTGAT